AACCGATGTGACTCCAGCAGGAGGGGACTCAAATCATTGTACCTGCTGAATTGTACACTGGAAAATGGCTAAAATCACAAATCTTCTGTTAAATGTTCACCGCTTATCTGTCAGTTTGTTGTACTGTGGTGGCCTGTGTGTTGCTGTGAGGCTGGAAGCTATGCCACTGGTATTTCAAATACCAGCAGGGTCACCCATAGTGGACAGGTTTCAGTGGAGCTTCCAGACTAAGACAGACTAGGAAGAAGGACCTGGTAATCTACTTCTAAAAATCTGGCCAGTGAAAACCTCATGAATAGCACTAGAATACTGTCTGATACAGTACTAGAAGATAAGCCCCTCAGGTTTGAAGGCACTCAAAATACAACTGGAGAAGAGCTGCCTCCTGAAAGTAGTCTACTTTAATGATGTGGATGGAGTAAAGCTTTTGGGACTTCATTGGTTGATATGGCACAACTCAAAATGGAAAGAAACAAATGCAAACATCCATGAATAATCAGAATGTGGAATGCACAAAGTATGAATCTAAGAAAAGCAGAAGTTGTCAAAAATTAAATGGAATACTTGAAGATCCATATCCTAAGCATGAGTGAGGTGAAATGCACTGGGACTAACCACTTTGAATCTGACAATTATATGGTCTACTATGCCAGGAATAACAAATTGAAGGGGAATAGTGTTGCATTCTTTGTCAAAAAGATCATCTCAAGATATATCCTGAAGTACAATGCTGTCAGTGATAAGGTAACATCCATATACCTACAAAGAAGACTAGTTAATACAACTATTACTCAAATTTACGCAGCGATCATTAATGCCAAAAATGTAGAAATTGAAGATTTTCACCAACTTCTGCACTGCAAAATTGATTAAACAAGCAATCAAGATGTCTTGAAAATTACTGGTGATTGGAATGCACAAGTTGGAATCAAAGAAGGACCCTCAGTAGGAAAATGGAAACAACACAGACCACATGATAGAATTTCAGTAGACCAATGACTTATTCATGCCAAATACTTCTGACACCATGAACAGATGTCACAGGATGGAATACACAAGACAAATCAACTGCATCTGTAGAAAGAGACAATGAAGAAGCTCTATATCATCAATCAGGACAAGGGCTGGTGCCAACTGCAAAACAAGTCATCAATTGCTCATATGCAAGTTCAAAGTGAAACTGAATAAAAGACAGCCAAAGTATGGCCTTGGGTATATGCAACCTGAATTGAGAGACCATGTCAAGAACAGATTTAATGCACTGAACACTAATGAGTGAAGACTAGATGAGTTGTGGGATGATATCAAGGACATCATACATGAAGAAAGCAAAATGTTAATAAGAGACAGGAAAGAAAAGACCAAAATAAATGTCAGAAGAAACTCTGAAACTTGCTCTCAAATGGGAAGCAATTAAAGCGAATGGAAGAAATGATGAAGTAAAACAGTTGAACAGAAGATTCCACAGGGCAGCTCAAGAAGACAATGTGAAGTATTATAATAAATGTGCAAAGACCTGGAGCTGGAAAGCCAATGGGGAAGAATGCATTTCGGCACTTCTCAAACTAAGAGAACTGAAGGAAAAAAACTCAAGCCGAGTTGCAATACTTAAGGATACTACGTGCAAAATACTGAACAACATAGGAAACATTAAAAGAAGATGAAAGGAATACACAATGTCACTGTACTAAAAAGAAATGGTCAACATTCAACCATTTCAGGAAGAAACATATGATCAAGAACCGATAATACTGAGGGAAGAAGTCCAAGCACCACAGAAGGCACTGACAAAAAACAAGACCTGTTAACAACCTGCAACATGCATATAGATACAACTTTGCTTGCTGAAAGCAAGGAGGATTTAAAGCATTTACCGACTAAGATCAAAGACTACAGCTTTCAGTATGGATTACATATCAGCATTAAAAAAAAAAAAAAATCACAACTGGACCAATAAGCAACATCATGATAAATGGAGAAAAGACTGAAGTTGTCATTTCACTTTATTTGGATCTACAGTCAACACCCATGGAAACATCAGTCAAGAAATCAAACGATGTATTGCACTGGGCAAATCTGCCTCAAAAGACGTCTTTAAAGTGTTAAAAAGCAAAGTTGTCACTGTGAGGGCTAAGGGACACTTGACCCAAGACATGGTATTTTCAGTCACTTCATATACATGCGAAAGCGGGACAATGAATAAGGAAAACTAAAGAAGAATTGATGTCTTTGAACTATGGTGTTGAGGAAGAATACTGACTATACCATGGACTGGCAGGAAAACGAACAAATCTATCTTTTGAGAAGTACAGCTAGAATGTTTCTTAGAAGGGAGGATGGTGAGACTTCATCTCACATACTTGGAAATGTGTATCAGAAGGCAGCAATCCCTGGAGAAGGGCATCATGCTTGGTAAAGTACAGGGTCAGGGTAAAAGGGGAAGAGCTTCAATGAGATGGGTGACACAGTGGCTACAACAATGGGATCAATCAGCAGTGATTGAAAGGATGGTGGAGGACTGGACAGTGTTTCATTCTGTTGTACACAGGGTCAAACTGACTCAATGATGCCTAACAACAGCATATCTGATGTGTTATTTTACCACAGTAATTTTTTTATGGAAACATAAAAATAAAAGCAAAACTTGTACAGACAAGTGTTTGAAGCTCCTTTCTTTCTAAGTGCCTAAAATTGGAAGCAACCCACATGTCTAATAGGTAAATGGATAAACTGTGGTGCAGCCATAAAATGCAATATTACTCAGTGACAGAAAGACATGGTTTATCAAGCCACCAAAAGTCATGGAGGAAGCTTAAGTGCCTATTGCTAAGAGAAAGAAGCCAGTCTGAAAAGACTGCATGCTATGGTTCTAACTGGATGACATTCTGGGAAAGGCAAAGAGACAATAAAAAAGATCAGTGGTTGCCAGGGACTGAGTGGGGATGGATGACAAGGCAAAGCCCACAGGGGCTCCAGGGCAATGAAGCTGTTGTGTGCAGTATGCACCGGGGGACACACGACATCAAGCACTTGTCAAAATTCATGAGCTGTAAAGCACAGCAGGAAACCTAACGTAAACTATGGCTTATGGGTTGGAACGTATGTACCACACACAGATCCAGACTCTTACCGCCATGAGGGTGAGTCCCTGTGATGGTGGGTGGGGGACCTGAGCAGCCACAAGACCACTCTTGGGACCTCCACACCCTTTCCACCCCCCTCCACAGCATCAGCTCCTACACGAGGACATTCTCACTCTGAGTCAGCTCAGGATGCTGAAACACAACTGAAATCTCAGCTTCCTACATCATCTCTCCCGGAGACAGAACCTGAGGGAGCCTTCCCACCTCTGCCCTTCACAGACCTTCTCACTATGCACAGACTATACGCTCACTGTACTAATGATGGGGAAGCACAGGTCAAACTAATAGTCGAGAAACAGCCCCAAGACAATGGCAATAACAGCCTTGGGCAGGGCATCACCATGAGGCTCCCCAGCTTCCCAACACTCTAGCTTCTCTCTGCACCAAAGGCTCCTTCTTGGTTGGTCTACATGGCCACCTGCAGACCGCAGCAGGCTCCCTTGAAAAAACCAACCTCTTTCACCTCCCTCTGCAGCCTCAACACTGGCTTCTCCTGGGGTCAAGAGCTTCAGCCCTCTGCACCCCAGTCTAGGTTATTCACTCACTTTGGACCACCACCGGTATCTCAAACAAGCCGAACCTAGTGTTTGAAGATTTCAGCTAATCACTCAAACCCAATGTTTCTGCATAAAGGAAGAAATAAAACTGTAAGGCACCTTTTAGCCCTCCACAAGAAAACACAAATTCTCTTTCAGAAAATAAAGGTGTCAGTTAGTTATTATTGCCGTAATAGAAAACATTTCGTAAACAATCCTATTTCGACATTTCTAGGCATTCCACATCTTATCCAATAGGATTTAGCATTAATCTCTGGAGACCAGATAATAGGAAACAGAATAGAATTATCCAAAAATTCTTCACCCTGCACAAGAGAAAAAGATGTTTGGGTGAATGTTTATAATTCAGCAATTTATCTTCCATACTTTCTTTGCAGAAAGGCATTCCTTTTTCTGCAGTCATATTGGAAGGAAGGTTTTCTCAATTTCTCTAAGATTCTTTTCCCTGACAGCATTCTCTAGCTAAATCCTGGAAATTCACTTGTTAGCTCGGAAAAGAGAAGACTTAAGAAACTTATTGCACACACTCTGGGGAAGAATAAATGTACACAAAGATTTTTAACTAATGGAATATAGAACTGGAGCATTATCATTTTTTTTTTTTTTCTGAAATCCATCTTTCTTGACATTTTGGAAATATTTTATACTGCTGTTGAATCTCTCTTGTTTTCTATTTATTGAAAAACTGAGGCTCCAATGGGTGAATACATCATTTTAGATGGCAAGCCCAAAGGACAGCCTGAACTGCAACATACTTATGTCCCACCGCGTGGCACACCCCCTCCCCAGCTTGTACCTCCAGCCGCTCCCTGACCACCCCACCCACCAACACCCCACTGTGTCCCACCCCCCGTGATTTCGGGTTACTTTTTCTACCATCACTTCTCTTAAGAAGGCAGGAATCAGAAGCTTTTCCCCTCATCACCAGCATTCTGTCACCTGAACGTGTCTCCAGACAGAATAAAAGCTGGGACTGAAGGAATAAAACCCAGAAAGTTCAGAGTTCCAATGCCTTTTCCAGAATGCCTGTCTATGTAGAAAAATCCCCGCGGGCAGGAGGTAATGATATTCACTCCACTCACCCAAAGAAACGGCAGCGGGGATCAAACCCTCGCCCAGGGATGTAAACGCCATCACTTAAAAACAACCATCCACAGCTGTGTGTAAAATGATGATTAAAGTCCTACAGCTTCTCCACAAACAGTTGATAATGATGTTTTGACTCGGAGGAACGGAGCTGGCTTAGGGAATGGAGGGAGGAATGTGAGATTTGGGAATTTAAGGCCCTAGGCGGAGTCACGGATAGGGACGTGGAATTTGGGCACTCGCTGTCACACATCCGGAAGCTCCGAGGAAAACCGATTCTCTTGCGGGCACCACCGCCCACACTGCCAGGCTCACCCGCTTGGTTCTGTGAAAGGGGGTGCAGACAGCACCTCCCACCCAGGACCTCGCAGACCGAGTCAGAGCCTCACCCCACGGTACGTGCGGGACGCAGGGCCCCGAAACAGGGCGAGGTCACCCCGCGCGGGGTTAGAAAGGACCCCGGAGCGGAGGCGGACAGCCCAGGGCCGCACACTGCCACTTCCAGACGTAATGAACCGACCCTCCCCTCGCCCAAGTCTTGGACCCTCGGCCTTGTGCTCACCATCTTCTTGTCCCGCTTCTGGTGGGATCACGGAGCGTCCTCCCTGAGTAGCTGAAAAAGAGAGACGAGAAGGGGACACCCAAGCCCCAAGCGAGGCTCGGCAGGTGAGACGCGTTTGCGTTGCGACCAGCCCCCCGTAACGTCATCCGCGTGCGCTCGTTGAGCGTCGTCCCGCCCCCGGAGCCTGTGATTGTACAGTTAGAAGGCAGCGCCATGGGCGCCCCTGATTGGACCATACCTGCAGCTCCTCTGCTTTCACTCTGAATGGACGATTCTAACGGTCTGGTCCTGGAGCCCTTGGAGATAATTCTAAAACGGTTGGAGCAGTACTTTGGCAGGGAACTGCCAAAAATGAAAGCTGGATTCAGAAGAGCACGTGGAACGAGGGATATCATTACTGATGTCAGATGGATCTTTGCTGAAAAAAATACCAGAAAGAGTACAAAAAATATCAGAAAGATGTTTACCTGTGTTTTATCAACTATGCAAAGGTATTTGACTTGTGTGCATCATAACGAATTATGAATAACACTGTGAACAATGAGGATTCTTGAACACTTAATTATGCGCTTAAGGAACTTCTCATAAGGGACTTGAACATAGACCAAGAGGTAATCATTTGAGCAGAACAAAGGGATACTGTGTAATTTAAAATCAGGTACAGCGTGCATCAGGGCTGTATCCTTTGACCACACTTATTCGATCTGAATGCTGAGAAAATAGTAAGAGAAGCCAGATGATATGAAGAAGAATGCAGCAACAAGATTAGGGGAAGACTCATTAACAAGCTGCAACATGAGGATGACACAACCTTGCTTGATAATAGTGACCACAGCCTTCAGTATGGATTACACTTCAACATAAAGAAAACAAAAAATTGTCACAACTGGAGCAATAAGCAACATCATGATAAATGTAGAAAAGATAGAAATTGTCAAGGATTTCATTTTGTATGAAGCACAATCAATGCCCATGGAAGCTTGTTGCTGTTGTTGTTGTTGTTGTTGTTGCCAGGTGCCATTGAGTCTGCTCTGGCTCATAGCGACACTATGTACAACAGAACCAAACACTACCCGGTCCCGCCCCATCCTCACAATTCTTGCTACACTTCAGCCCGTCGTTGCAGCCACTGTGTCAATCCATCTTGTTGAGGGTCTTCCCCTTTTTCACTGACCCTCCACTTTACCACGTATGATATCCTTCTCCAAGGAATGGTCCCTTCTGACAAAATGGCCAAAGCAGGTAAGAAGTCCAGCCACTCTCGCTTCCAAGGAGCATTCTGGCTGCACATCTTCCAGGGCAGATCTGTTCATTCTTCTGGGATTTTCAGTATTCTTCACTAACACCACAACTCAAGGCATCAACTCTTCTTTGGTCTTCCTTATTCTTTGGCCAGCTTTCACATGCATATGAGGCAACTGAAAACACCATGGCTTGGGTTAGTGCACATTAGCCTTTCAAAGTGACATCTTTGCTCTTCAACATTTTAAAGAGGTCTTTTGCAGCAGATTTGCCCAGTGCAATATAATGTCTGATTTCCTGATTGCTGCTTCCATGGATGTTGATTTGGATCTAAGTAAAATGAAATCCTTGAAAACTTTGACCTTTTCTCCATTTATCATGATGTTACTTATTGGTCCAGTTGTGTTTTTTTTTTTGTTTGTTTGTTTGTTTTCTTGATGTTGAGGTGTAATCCATACTGAAGGCTGTAGTTTGATCTTCATCGTTAAGTGCTTCAAGTCGTCTTCACTTTCAGCAAGCAAGGTTAGGTCATCTGCATATCACAGGTTGTTAAATTAATCTTCCTCCAATTTTGATGCTGTCTTCTTCATATAGTCTAGCTTCTTGGATTATTTGCTCAGCATACAGATTGAATAAGTATGGTGAAAGAATACAACCCTGACGCACACCCTTCCTGATTTTAAACCATGCACTATCCCCTTGTTCTGTTTGAAAAACAATCTTTTGGTCTATGTACAGGTATTTATCAGTACATTTAAGTGTTCTGGAATTCCCATTCTTCACAGGGTTATCCATAATTTGTTATGATCCACACAGTTGAATGACTTTGCATAGTCAATAAAACACACGTAAATATCTTTCTGGTATTCTTTGCTTTCAGCCAAGATCCATCTGACATCAGCAATGATAGCCCTCATCCCACATCCTCTTCTGAATCCAGCTTGCATTTCTGGAAGCTCCCTTTCAATATACTGCTGCAAACATTTTAAAATTATCTTCAGCAAAATTTTACTTGTGTGTGATATTAATGATATTGTTTGATAATTTCCACATTCTGTTGGATCATCTTTCTTTGGAATGGGCACAAATATGGATTTCTTCCAGTCAGTTGGCCAAGTAGCTGTCTTCCAAATTATATGTCATAGATAAGTGCCTCCAGCACTGCATCTGATGAAGCAGCAGTCAAGAAATCAAACAACATATTGCATTGGGCAAATCTGCTGCAAAAGACCTCTTTAAAGTGAAAGCCATAGTCTTTTCAATAGCCTCATATGCATATGAGACCTGGACAATGAATAAGGAAGACTGCCGAAGAATTGGTGCCTCTGAACTGTGGTGTTGGTGAAGAATATTGAATGTACCGTGGACTGCTAGAAGAACAGACAAATACGTCTTGGAAGAAGTACTGCCAGGGCGTTCTTTAGAAGTGAGAATGGCCAGACTTCGTCTCTAGTACTTTGGTCATGTCGTCAGAAGGAACCAGTCCCTGGAGAAGGATACCATGCTGGGTAACGAGGAGGTGAGGGAAATAGGGAAAGATCTTTAATGAGATAGATTGACACAGTGATTGCAAGGATGGGCTCAAGCATAGCAAGTATTGTGAGGATGGTGCAGGACCCAGCAGGGTTTCCTTCTGTCATGCATAGGGTAACTGAGTCAGACCCCACCATCTGGTACCTACAGTCACATAGTCTCCACCTCTGTGCTCCTAATTGGACATTAATACCATGCCCTCTTTCCCTGAATGACAGGTGGCTGGGGCGTTCCTAACTGAGTGAAGCTTCTTCCTGGCGAGCTAAGGGACCTTGGCATTTGACAGTGTGCACTCTGGATCTTCCTCCTTTATCATCAGAACCAAAAAAACCAAACTCACTGCCATGGAGTCAATTCAACTCATAGGGACCCCTCCTTGGGTTTCCGAGGAGGTATCTCTACAGAAGTAGATTCAACAGTCTTCCTTCCGAGGAGTGGCTGGTGGGTTTGAACCTCCAGCCTTCTGGTTAGTAGTCAAATGTCTGAGGCACTACGCCACCAGAGAAGGATGTGTAAAACCCACAGCTCAACCCTAGGCACAAGCACTCTTCTCAGACCACAAGAAGCAAATGTATTCCTTACTATTCTCAGCTGTATTTTTTTAACAGGAAAGAAATTCATTTGAGATCAGTTTTTTTACTGTGTCATTAGATAATTGTGAAAGATAAAGGCTATGATGTCTTTAAAGCAGTTAAATTCCTATTTTAACTGATACAAGAAAACAACAACAAAAGCTTATGTAAATTTGGCTTGGATCTTAAAACTCTTAATTCACATAATACCAAAAAAACTACTGCTATGGAGTGGATTCCAACTCACAGCTCCTCTAGAAGACAGAGTGGAACTGCCCCACAGCATTTCTAAGGCTGTCAATCTTCACAGAGGCAAAGCCCACTGCCCTAGAGTCGATTCGGACTCACAGCACCCCTAGAGGAGAGAATGGAACTACATTATAGGGTTTCCAAGGCTGTCAATCTTTAAGGAAGCCAATTCCCATATCTTTCTCAAATTCCAATTGCTGACTTTTTGATTAGCAGCCAAGTATTTTACTCACTGTGCCACCAAGTCTCCTAATTCACAAAACAGGTTGGGCAAAAATGCCTGATGCATTGAACATAGCTGGTAATTTCAGAAAACATTCCATAGTGTGAGATAAAGTGGAAATACAAACTTTAATATTGTTTGTCATTTTATATACAAATAGAACTTTAAAAATTCTTATTTTATGGTTTTCAAAAAGGTTCTAAACACTTTCAGAAAAATTTCAAAAAATTACTCAGACGGTTAACACAGAAAAGCAACTATGAATTAAAAATTTAAAAAAATAATAAAACAGAAACTAGTT